CAGTCCACTAATGATTGGTTTGTAGCTAGATGACGCCTTAACTTTAATCAACCTCACTTCGTCTTTTGACGACAAGCTAAAACAACTACTTCTCTTCTTCTATCTCTCTTCTCTACCGACTCAACTCATCTTAAGGCTGAAGTTTAGCAGCATTGTGAGGAAGCTCGCACAATCTACACGAGAAAATGGTTGTTGAAAAGGAAATCACATGTACTGTTTCCGTTTAAATTGGTCCCCTTTCAACTGTTGCTGAGTGAAAATGCTTCAACACACAAGCATGGAAAAGAATTTAATTCGTCGGAATCTTGCAGCATTACCCACTTCGTTGAAAAACCGACCTAATTGACCACATCGAGATGCACGAAAACTAGCTGTCCCGCCCGCAGAGTGATGCAAAATAGGGAGTTTAAGAGGCGCCTTGTATTTGCGTATGCAGTGTATTTCGCGTTTTGTAGAGCCATCACGCACTGCACAATGATTATTTGTTCAAAACTAGTGTTGTAGAACGATGTCCTTACTATTGTGAAATAACAGTCTTTGACTTTGATACAAAATCTGCTCTACGTGTTTTGAGCGCAGATGATTTTTGATTCTGTTTTCCCAGCAATCCATCGACCACGTCTTAGAAACTGCTTTTAATGTTAAGACTAGTCGACGTAGCGCATTGCGTTCCAGTACTTGGTGTACTCTTCCACTGCTTTAGCCTTAAGAGCTTCGCCGACGTCCGGGAAATCTTTGGCCATATTGGCAAGATCATCAGGGCGCATATTTGCGTCGTCAGCGACCTTGAACACCAACTCATTTTATCATCTGCCATGCTCGAGTTCCGAGTTCCTATACTTTTTATATGTATATTAAAATGTATTTATAGGGGATAGGGTATAGAAGAGAAAGAAGACGTAGAGACAGTGTAGCATTTTTTTGTGGAGCTCAGTCCCGCATTGTGTATCAAACCTACCATGATTATAATAGTTGATGTTACGTCAGTTCGGTGACAGCAGCTCTAGTAAGTACGACATCGTGTTGGAACCTCGGAACTCCGACTTATTGTGCCTTTCCAAAGTTTTGGCCAATCTGACCTTTAAAAGCTGGTCCTAAGCAATGGTGGGTAGGGCTAAAGGTGGGATTTGAGGACGAACTGGAGTT